ATTGCATTGATTTATATATATTTGTCCATCAATACCACACAGTTTTGATTACTGTACCTCGTATAACTCTTAAAATCAAGATACTGATTCTTCCCACTTTATTATTTTCCAAAATGGTTGTAGCTATTTTAGCTCTTCTGCCTTTCCATATAAATTTTTAAATAGGCTTTTCTAAATCTACAGGAAATCTTTCTGGGATTTGGATGGGAATTACATTCAACCTGTGTATCAGTCTGGGGAAAACTGACATCTTGACTATGTTGAGTCTTCCAGTTCATGAACACGGTATGTCCCTCCATTTATACAGATCTTTGATTTCATTCATTAGCAATGTCTGGTTTTCAGCATATAAATCCAATATTTGTTTTGTTAGATTTACATGAAGTATTTCATTTTTAAAAGAATTATAAATGGTATTGTATTTTTAATATTGGTGTTGATGTATTTATCACTAGTATATAGAAATATAATTGATTTTGTACATTTATTTTCTCTACATATGTTTAGAACCACATCGGACAGTGTTATTTATAGTTTGTTCCAACTGAGAAAACTCAAGAAGGAAAGTTTACTTTATTTATCCAAACTTTTGCTTACCATGTTCTTTCTTCTTTCCTGATACCCAAGGTCCTTTATCATTTCCTTTCCATTTAGAGAATATCCTTTGGCCATTCTTTTTGCGTAGGTCTGTGGTGAAAAACTCTCGGGGTTTTTTTTTGTTTTTTTTTTTCATCTAAGGGTGTCTTGACTTCTCCATATCTGAAGGGTATTTTCTATCAGTATAGGATTCTGGGTTGATGGTTATTTTAAAACTTTGAAAATATTTTGCCACTTCCTTCTGACTTCTGTGGGGTTTTTTAAAAATATTTTTATTAGCATATTCATCATTACAAGTCATACTTATTCTTTATGCCCCATGTCCAATATCTCCCCTTTCCCCTCTCCCTCCCCCTCTCCCCTTCCTAGTCCCCCTCGTCCTTCCAAGGTTTCTAATAAGAAATTGATGTCATTCTAATTATTTTCCCCTGGCTGCTTTAAAGATTTTTTTTTTTCTGTGCCTTTAGTTTTCAAAGGTTTAATTATGATTATTCTTAGCGTAGATTTCGTTGGGTTTATCCTGTGGTGGGCTTGCTCACCTTCTTGAATCTGTAGGTTTAGGTTTCTTGCCAAATTTGGGAAGTTTTCACATGTTACTTCTTGGAATATTTTTTTTTTTTTTGTCTTTTTTCCGTGTCTGGCAACGGATCGCAACCCTCAGTGTTGCCCCCGTACCGGACCGGGGACCGGCGACGGGATCGCAAGCCTCGGCGTTGCTCCCGCGCCCCGCTCAGCCAGTGAGCGGGAGCCGGTCTGTACGTGGGATCCGAACCCTCAGACGGGAGCGCCGCCGCGCTTCCCAAGCGGGCGCACTATCCAGTGCGCCACCGGGCCGGCCCTTCTTGGAATATTTTTTCACCCCACCCTCTCCTCTCCTCCTGAGAGGCCAATGACACTAATGTTAGATATTTTGTTATAGACCCAGAGGTCTCGAGGCTCTGTTCATATTTTTTAAGTGTATTTTCTCTCTGTTGTTCTGTCTTCCAGTTCACTGATTCCTTCACGTGTCTTCTCCATCCTGCTGCTGAGCCCATTACTGAGCTTCTCACATCAGTTATTGCATTTTTCAGTTCTAAAATTTCTACTTGGTTCTTCTTTATATATTTTATTTCTTTCCTGAGATTTTCTGTTTATTTCCTAGGTCTTTCTATCTTTTCATTTGTTTCCAGCATGTTCGTAATTGCTCACTGAAGCATTGTTACCGTGGCCTCTTTAAAATCTTTGTCTCATAATTTTCTCAGATCCGTCATCTTCATGTTAGCATCTACTGACTGTCTTTTTAAACTCAGTTTGACGTATTCCAATTCTTGGAATAACATGATATTCTGTTGAAACCTGGGATTTTCCTTTCTGTTGTGAAACTCAGGACCTTACCTAAAGCCTCTGCGTTAGCTGGGCTTTTTCTGACACTGCTCCTACAGGGGACCGGGGGATGTGCTGCTCGTTACTGCAAGGTGGGGGTGGAAGTCTCCATTCTCCATTCAGCCTCTGTTGACACCTGAGCGGGGGAAGCTCCTCATCACTGCTGAGGGGACACTGGGGTTCGGGTTCCTGACTTGGTCTCCGCTGATACCACAGTGGGTGTAGATGGTGAAACTCCTGATTCCCACCAGGCCTCCTCTGACACCACCCCACCGGGGGGTGGAGAAGCACCTTGTTACTGACAGTTTGGGGTAGAAATCCAGGATCCCTGTGTGGTCTCCACTAACACCATGGAGGGCAGGAAGGGGGCTCATCACCAGAGGGGATAGAAGTCCTGGCTCCCTACATGGTCTTCTCGGACACCACCAGGGTATTGGGGCACCTCATCACAGCTTTGTGAGGGTGGAAGTCTAGGCTCCCCGTTCAGCTTGGGTGAGGGTGGGGCCACAGATTTTTTTCTGTGGTGTTTGGCTGGAGTAGAGAAGTTATTGTCTGAAAGTTTTCTGTCTTACTAGGCTGCCCCTTTCCTGGTCTTTTGGCTAGACAGAGCAGACTTCTATTGGGCTTTTGGAGGGTCTGCACCCATTGGTGTTTCTGGGTTGCTGGTTTCTTCTGCATCAAGTCTCGGATATATAGGCAAAAAGAAAACCCAAGGAACTCACCACTGTGTTGTTCCTCAGGTCTTGAAGTTCCTTCTCTCCATCCTTCATAGTCTCTTATGTTTATTTTGTATTTACTGTCCAGGGTTTATAGTCGTACTTAGTGGGAGGAATCAAGAAAAGTATATCGACTCCATCTTCTCAGAAGGCGTTCTGTTTTTAATCCGTTTTGATTTCTTTTTTTTTTTTTTTATTCCTTTTTGTCTTTTTTACTGACCGGTAACGGGATCGCAACCCTCGGTGTCGCGCCCGCACCGGGGACTGGCAACGGGATCGCAACCCTCGGTGTTGCACCCGCACCGCGCTCAGCCAGTGAGTGGGAACCGGTCTCCACCTGGGATCCGAACCCTCGGCAGGAGCGCCGCCACGCTCCCAAGCGGTGCACTCTCCAGTGCGCCACCAGGCTGGCCCTTAATCCGTTTTGATTTCTAATGAATGAACTTAAGATTATAAATTTACCTCTAAGTACTACTTTAACTATATCCCACAAGTTTTGATATTTGGTGTTTTACTGTTGATTCTAAATGCTTTGCAGTTTTTACTATGATTTCTTCTTTGTCCCATGAATTATTCATAAGAGTGTTTTTAAATTTCCAAATGGGATTTTTGGGGCTATCTTTTTATTATTGATTTCTAATTTTGTTGACGGTTGAATTTTGGTCAGTAAACTTGATCTGCATGCCATTAAATCTTTTGTATATGGGAGGACTTGTTTTATGGCCTAGAATATGGCCAATTTTTATTATGTACATTTTCTTTGTATGTTTTAAGAAAATATATGTCCTTTAATGGTTGGCACAGCCTATGATTCTTAGAGAAGACTCTTATCTACCCTGGGTCGAGACAGAGATGCTGGTGAGTAGAAATTTTTTTTCCTAGACCATTCTTTTTGGAGTCTTAGCTTGTGGTGTGGAGGTAGTCTCAGCCTCAAATCCCCATCTGCAGCAGCTCAAGGCCTTCTGTCCTTTTAAGAGTATTAAACCCCAGGCCTCTAGGTTTTGGAGTACTGCTCTCTCCACATACACACCACCACTATCACATGTACACCAATGGCGGCTGTTCCAGATTTCCAAGTTTCAGGTCCTGCTTTGCTCCTGGGAACTAAGAATTGTCCTTTCTTTCTCATGACCTCAGTTACATGTTTAAAAGAATGTTTCAGTTCTGTATTTCCTATCCAACATGGTAGGAAAGAGGGAAATCAGGATACTCCGCCTATTTTAGGTGACAAAGAAGCACAGAGTAATGAAGGGAGTATTAAGAGAGTGTGGGTCAGGTGGATGCCTCCATGGATGACTGATTCCCAGCTAGGCCAGAGCTAGGAATCACCATTCTGATGCAATGTTTCCTAGGAGTCACCTGGAAACCGTACATTCCAAGGTACGGTTTCCTAGGCTCTTTCTCTGGTAATTTTAAATTTGGTTGTTTAGGGTGGGGACCTGAAGACTGGGTCCCAGAGCCCCAAGAGACTGTTATGGAAAGAAAGGTAAGGGACTAATATACTGCAGAATCTAGGGTACTGAATGGATTCACAGGTCCCACCTCTCTGGGTCTGTAATCTTAGAATCTGTGGGTTTTGGAAGCTACCCCAGGATGTGTGCCACTAATAAATTACAAAAAGGAAAAATTAAGAGTATAGATTAAAACAAAAAAAAAGGTTTAGACTAGTATATAGGTGCAAGAACAAATTATATTAGGGATAAGACCGTGTAGGTAGAAACTGTAAAGATGTGTTACAGAAACTATCTATTCATTCATTCATTCAACGAACACTTTTTGGGCCCCTGTTGTGTCTCAGATACTTCTAGGCACTAGAAATTCTGAAATAAATAATACAGAGCTCTAATTTCAAGAAGTATCTCCTCTAGCACTAGAGGCAAATGGATAAGGGCTATACAGTATGGCGGGCATATGAAAGTACAGATACAGTTGCCAGAGAAAATACAGGATGCCCAGTTAAATTTGAATTTCCAATAAGCAACAAATTATTTTTTAGTGCAAGTATGTTTTTGTTTTTTGTTTTTTTTCACTTTTTCAAAATCTGGCAACCCTAAATACAGGAATACAAAGGAGAAACTCCCAACTCAGCTGAGGAGACAAAGGCTGCAAATCTCAGCCATATGTCAAAAGGTCTTTGATACAAAGTGATTAAAATTAGTAGGTCACAGTGACGGCTGCCAGAAGCAGGTCTCAAAGTCCACTGCATTATTTCTTGAGTAAGGGGGTAAGGTATGTTCAACTGTCCCAACCACAGCTACTAAATACCTCAGAATCTCCTCAAAACATACTCATATATCTAACATTTTTTGAAACACAAGGACTTACGGAACACAGGTTTGTGGGCAAGTTCGTCTAAAGTGATTCCTCCTTCAGGACTGAACTCCAAACTGCTAGTGAAGTTGTATTTCGCAGTTCCTTCTGGAGAAACAGTAATTTTTGCAGAGTCTCCCAGAACCACTTGATTGAATTCTGCACGAATAAAGGTAACTGGACTATCTCCTTTAAAACATTTCTGTTGGCAGAAACTTCAAATTACATTCAAATAAAGAATTTCCTACACATCTGGCAATACTTTTTGACTCAGGCTAAATAGCATTTTCTGTTTTTTTCCTAACAAGCTACATCACAAATACAAAAGGGGTAGGTAGAAAATCATTAAACAAATCTAGTTGTAGCTAAATGATATTATGTTGGAGCTTTGAAGAATAACATTTATTGTGCTTTATCTGATGATAAAAGTATATTGTAGAATATTTGAAAAAGTAAGAAAATCACATAGTAAAATAAATTACATATAATCTTACTCTAACATGTAAGCACTATTAATATTTTAGAATATATTTTCTAGTGTTTTGCTATGAATATATATGTATGTGCAACACATACATTTTTTATATATTCATTTGAAAACAAAGGGAAGCTCATTAATTACATTTTTTTGGAACAACCTTTTTAAACTTCATAAGACTGAATATTTTGCCATTTCATTATTCTGCTAATTTTTAATAGTTACATCATTCTATTATGTATTATCATTTAAATTCATCAAATAAAATTAACCATAAGAAAAACTCAAAGAACTCAGATCCTTCTCAGGAGAAAAAAAGAAAAAAGAAATTATATATGAACTGCTATCTAGAAAAACTAAAACCACTTCTTCCTTCACCCTTGTTAAATTTAGTATTCAAATTGCCAGATATTTTAGACACACAGTAATGTGATTTGCTGAATATATTCTAACAGTAAGGAACACTGGGGAGAGAGGCAGTTGCTGTGTGAAGCCAGGAGGTTTGGAGGTAGAGAATGATGCAAAACTCCGCTCTTCCTCTGGTGCTCTCCAAACTAGGGTCTTTGCGGATTTCCAAAAATAACTTTACCAGATCATATACATCTGTCACAGTGATCTGCACGGGTCTGCCTGTTGATGGCACCTGCTCCATATCAACAACCGGGTAAAGTCCCTCTGGTTTTCTTTGGTCTCTGTAAACAGAATGAATAAATCTGTCTCCTCATGTACAATAGCTGCACAAGTACCCACATTCCATCCTAACCAACACTAGGGGGGAACCTGAGGAAATGCCATACTCCAGCATCGTTGAGTTCCCCCTTTCCAACTTTTGCTGCAGGATCAGAAGTGTTTTAAGGAGCTGGTCACAAGGATGATTCCACTGGTTAGTGCTAAGAAGATTCTTATATATGTAATTAACACATTAAGCACAGATATCATGAGACAAAGAGAATAGGAATAATATCTCCCCCTCCCATCCCTCACATCCTTCACAATGTCCTTTGGTAACTTATTTTTAATCTGTAAGGCTCCCCTCAATGATTATTTACTATATCAATTTTCACATATTTTTATATATCAGTTTCATATATTTAATATACATATTTATATATTCAATATATATATATTTTGATATATCAGGTTTTATATATTTCTCTCTCTCTCTCTCTCTCTCTCTTTTTTTTTTGCTGGCCTGTACAGGGATCGAACCCTGGACCTTTGTGTTATCAGCACCACACTCTAGCTGACTGAGCTAACAGGCCAGCCATACAAAAACATATTTTGAGAGCACAAAAGAAGTAGCCACATAGAATGGTAATGCATTGGAAAAGTTCCTGACATATGTCTTACTTAGACAGTATTTTCTTATTATTTTACAACATTAAGGACACAAACAATTTCAAAAATAAATTGAATCTATTTGTTTCTTTAAAAAACAAGGTCATGGTTTTTTAACTCAATTCACAGATTCAAAGTGGAAGTTATTTATGCGATTCAAACCTTTACTGATGACAAACTACACTAAGTGTACCCAGGAATGGTGATACAAAAAAGAACCCAACACTCTGCATCCTTCAGACTTTATAATTATTCTGCCTCTTCCCAGCCACTCCCTCATTTTTCCAGTGACCTAAAAGTCTCAGCTCACTTGTTCAACACCATGTCTCTGGGCTCTTTCAAGGCCTAAGTGCCCAACTTAGCACTTCCTTGTTCCATGACTTCTGGTAAGATAACAAATTTCTCTGAAACTCAGTTTCCTTTATTGCTAAAATGGAGATTTAAGTGTCACCTGGAAGGGTGGACACATATGAGATAACAGATGCCAAGCTCCTGGCACACTGGCATGTAGTAAGCTATACTCACAAGTTCATCCCCCCCTTCCCTCCTATGTGCTCTGCCCCTCCCGCTTCCTCTGTCACAGTACGCGTCACATAGATTATAACTCCTATTTATGTGTCTCTCTTCCTCACCAGATTTTAAATTCCTTGATGTTAGGGCGTTTATCACTTAAATCCCTTGATGTTCGCGATCATATCATTGTTTTATTCTCACCTACCAAATAAAGTCAAACTGTAACATTACAGTCACATCCCGCGTAAGGCATTTTGGTCAATGACAACAATGTTATGGTAGTACCATAAGATTACAATGGAGCCAAAAATCCCCATTGCCTAGTAAAGTCAAAGCCGTCCTGAGAGGCTGCACAACGCACCACTCACGTGTTTGTGGTGAGGCTGGCCAGGAGCAATCGGCTATACCTGTAGCCAGGTGTGTAGTGGGCTACACCATCCAGGTTTGTGTAAGTCCACTCTCTGACGTTCATATGACTATGGAATCGCCTAAGGATGCATTTCTCAGAACTATCCCTGTGGTTAAGTGATACACGACTATATGTTCAAGGCCTTCTAGGATCTAGCAATGCCAATCAGCTTCTCCCCTCACCTAGCCTATGCTCTAGCTTAGCATTTTTCAAAGATTACCTGTACTTGGTCACTTTTGAACTTTTGCATTTCTTCAGCTTCCTCAGAATTATCCTTCCCTTCCTCCCCACTCCATTCTTAATGGGCAAATCCTAATCTTCCTCCAAGGTCCAGCTCAAATGCTTCCTAGCCCATGAAGCTTTCTAGTCAGCGCATTTGCCTTTCCTTTGAACACCTCTGGCACTTTATACTTCTTTTGTGGCATTAATACAAGCAGTCTTTTAACAAAGACTGGAGATTCAAAAGACCTTTCCTATTTAATAACTATGTGACCCTGGGCAAATGCCCAACTTCTCTGAGCCTCAGTTCCGCCTTCTGTAAAAGGGATAATTCAACTTCCGACCTGTCTCACGTTTGTTGTGAACATGCCCTGAAGTGGTCAAAGAGCTTACACTACGAAGCGCCGCACACACGGTTATCAATATGCACCGCTTTTCCTGAAAGCTCAGTTAAGCCCTTGAAGACAAGTAAACTGTCTTATTCACACTGACGGCCCGAGATGCTCGGCACCGTGTCTTGTTTGGAGGGTCTCTGAACAGTGACTGCCAGAGACTGGACGAGCTCCGGTGACGGTCGGGGCACTCAGGGGCGGTGCTGGCACCGAGGCACGTACTTCTTTTCTCTGCTCAGAAACAGCTACAAGGGAAAAGTAAAATTGCACGCAGGGTGGATGAAGGAGGTGACGTGGCTGGGTCTGGTCTGCGGACAGCAACGCGGTCTGGGCCGACGGCGCGGGGGGCTCCGTCCACGTCCGCCCTCGCGCGGGCCTGGGCTGCGGGGAGAGTCCGCGCCGAGCGGCCGGCGGCGTCTCGGTCTGTGCCGGAGGCTGCACCGGGCCTGAGCGGAGGGAGCAGGAGCCGGGAGACAGCGGGCCGGGGGACGCAAGGCCGCGACGGGGAGCCCGGCAGGGAAGGGCTTCCACGCGAGGGAGAACTGCCTTACCTGACCCGCCGCACAGAGGTTTCCGTGACTATAGCAACCAGCCAACTATCGCGAGATCGCTCTGTCTCTCGCCCCGCCCCTTCCCTTCCCCTCTTCTATCTCCCCCTCTTCTCTCCCCCTCTTCTTTCTCCCCCTCTTCTCTCTCCCGGTACTGGGATCCAACCAAAAGGAAGTTTATTTAACGAAAAAAAAGTTTTACTAAGCAGATTTGAAAACAGGTCACTGAAATCTTTCTCCATGAGAAATGCAGATGAAGACTAAAAAGTGAGCCCAACTCTCACACAGTTGGTGACAGTGCAAAATGGTGCTGCTTCTAAGATGTCCAACATTTGTACAATAAACAGGCTTGAAGTACATCATGTTAATGCAAATTTTTAATACATTCGAAATTCGACATTACTTTATAGAGTTGGAATAGCAAAATACAATAGCAATAACCTGGAAACAACCCAGGTGCCCATCCACAGAAGAGTGGATCAATACACACTGTGGTTTACTCACGAAATGGCATATTGTAAGCATCAAAATGAATGAACTACAGCTACACACAGCGTGGATGAATCTTAGCAATGTACACACTTTAAAATGTTGCAGTGTCAAGAGCCAGCTGGAAGGGACTCCCATTGGCCAAATCAGGGACAGTCTGAGCATTGAAATAAATAATGGCAATAACGGATTACAACACACATTGAATAAAATAGAAATACACAAGACCACATTGACATAAATAAAGGGCGGGTGGAACAGAAAGCTCTTTCTTACAGTAGAACACCAACCCATAGTGTAGAGGGAAGGATGGAACTAGAGAATTGCCACTGGGCAACGACTATAGAGGTGGATGATTCAGACAGGAGTCTTCAATGGATGCCAAGGCTGGGGGTTTTATGGTGGAGGTTTTATGAGGAATAGGATATTGGTGGGGTTTTGGAATATTTCCCTATGGTATACTAACCAATTACAGAGGGGAAAACAGTGAATCAAAGTAACCAAAATGATCAAGGTTAACACCAGTGTTGGAAGAAATCTACATTGTGTGCCTCCTGGTGAGATGCACTGAGAAAAGCAAAGCATTCTTTTTACGGTATTCCTACCATCGAAGTGACCCAGGTTGTGGGCCGTCCTATAGAATGTAAGGCCTGTACTCTTCAAAACTGTCAAGGACATGAAAGACTGAAAGCTGTTCCAGATTAAAGGAGTCTGAAGATACATGACAACTAAATGCAGTATGTATTGCTGTATAGCATTCTGGACCAGAAAAGAAAAAGACATTGTTGGAATGGTGGGCAAAATATGAATGGTTCTGTGGATTGGATGAAGTGTTGAACCGATATTGATTTCCTGATGGGGAAGGTTGTTTGCTGTCACATACAGGCACGCACATACACACACAAGGGAAGTGAGCAGGGCTGGCCAGTTAGCTCAGCTAGTTAGAGCACAGTGTTGTACATACCAAGGTCCAGGGTTCAGATGCCTGTACCGGCCAGCTGCCAAGACAAAAACCAAGCTAAACAATGGAGCAAATGCAATGAAATGTTAATTACTTGAGAATCTGGGTGAAGGGAGCATGTGGTTCCTTGCACTGTTTTGGCAACTTTTCTATACATTTGACAAATCATTAAAATACACACATACGTACACAACCACTCTCCATGGGAAGCTCCTTGCTTAGGATACAAAGTTATCAGACCCAAGTTTTAAAATTATTATTTATACTAAGAAAGAAACATGAAAATTATGAAAATTAAGAAAAAGATCTTTAAAAACTTGCAATGTTACAGGTAATAAAATTTCTCAAAACTATGGCACTATTAAGCAAGGCATTTCTCTCTGGATTTTTCTCCCTGAGTGAGGGTTGTGGGTGAATTTGCACTGAGATAGCCATCCCACTTGCCCATGACATAATCTTTCTACTAATAAGCTAGGGTTAGGGTCAAGTCTTTGATAGGGAACTGTTATTTTAGAAATCACTCATGATCGTGGTCTCATTACTCTCCTTCAAGGCCTTAGGCAAGCACAGATAAATAACAGATGTCACTTCCTTAAACCTAATTAATCCCCATCACATTTTCAGAGTTCCTGAGAGCAAAAATTGTGTTACAGTTTTTTTATTCTCCTAGAGTGCTTAGCAGTGGCCTCTCTGCTTGAAATTCCCCATAGTCCTTATCAGGAAAGGTATTTGAATAAGTTTTTTTTTTTTTTTTTGGCAGCTGGTGTGTATGGGGATCCGAACACTTGACCTTCATGTTATAACACCACATTTTAACCTACTGAGCTAACTGGTTCAAATAGTTTTTAACTGGTTTAAAACATCCACTTGTGTATAGAAAGCAGAAAAAGCCCTCTTTTGTGCATAGAAAACACAATAGTACTGAGAATCATAATTAAATCATCTACATATACAAAACAAATTTGGGGGAGAAAAAAACTATAAAAATGATAAAATTCAAACTCTTTAGTTCTGAGTTTCAAAGATCTTCACTAAATGATGCACTATCTCAAAAACTCCTTTCTCATTACCCCAGAAGAGTTTTTTCTAATTAGCTAATCTGTTATTTCCAAAGCCAACTTATTTCTGACAATATTCAATAATACAATCAAATATATTGCTCATCCCCAAACTGATCTACAGATTCAAAGCAATCATTATCAAGATCCTAGCTGGCTTTTTTTTGCAGAAATTGACAAGCTGATCCTAAAATTCATATGGAAATGCAAGGAACCCAAAATAGCCAAAACAAAAAGAAAAACAGAATCCTTTAGGACTCTCACTTTCATATTTTAAAACATTCTACAAAGCTGCAGTAATCAAGTACAGTAATCAAGATAGTAATCAAGGCATGAGAATAAACATATAGATCAATAAAATTGAATTGAAAGTTCAGAAATTAACCCTTACATTTATGGCCAATTGGTTTTTAACAAGGGTAACAAGATAATCCAATGGGGGAAAGAATAGTCTTTGCAACAAATGGTGCTGGGACAACTGCATGTCCCCATGCAAAGAATGAAGCGGGAACCCTGCCCACACAATATTAAAAATAAACTCAAAATGGACCAAAGACCTAAATATAAGAACTAAAACTATAAAACTCTTAGAAGAAAATACAGGAGTAAATTGTTGGGAACTTGCATTAGGCAATGGTTTCTTAGACATGACACCCAAAACGAGAACAATCACAGACAAAATAAAGAAATTGAACTTCATCAAAATTAAAAACTTTTGTACATCAAAGGATACCATCAAGAAAGTAAAAAGACAACTCAGAAAATGGGAGAAAATATTTTGTAAATCGTGTATCTAATAAGGGTCTACTATCCAGAACATATAAAGAATTCATAAAATTCAACAAAAATACAAATTACCCAATTTTAAAATGGGCAAAATATTTATGTTGTTTTTTGGCAGCTGGCCAATATGGGGATCCGAACCCTTGACCTTGATGTTAGCAGCACCAACTCTAACTAACTGAGCTAACTGGCCAGCCTGAAAATACTTGAATAGACATTTTCCCAAAGATTTGCTACCCATCCTGTGGCAGGCAGTTGTGCATGTGTTCCTGCACACAGTTTGTGAGAGCCAGAGTGGGTAAAAAGGACTCTGTCCTCCGAATATTGGTTATCTGTGCTCTAATCACTGATCGCTGTTTCTGATCACAGAGGTGAAGGTAAAGACGAAGGCAGCCATTAAAAATAGACTTCCAGGGGGAAAAGGATGGCATCTGGCATCTCTTTCTTTTCCCCTATGCTTTTTTCCCTTTTTCTCCTTCTAGGAGCCAGACATTAAAGACTAGAATATTCAAAAGCAACTGCATATATGGGGAAAATTAGAAAGTAACCACACATACCCAGGGAAAGGCACAGGCTCAGAAAAGACCTGAAACCTTAAGTTTACACCTCAGGCTGGTCCTTGGTACAGAGACAACCTATAACCATCAAAACAAAGAAAGTAACAAAAAATAGCATACTAGGGGGAAAACAAGAATCTCATTTTCAGAATTACATTATTAGATTCAAATGCACAATTTTCAATGAAATTTTCACAAGGCAATGACTGGGTATGGGCCTGACACTCCTGCACCGTGCATTTTCAGGACTAGTTGATTTGGCAGGTGAGTTGTTACATACTCCTTAGCAGATTCTTACTTCAATGGCCACTGTCCTGCTGTCTATATCCATCAACACCTTTTCTGGGGTCTGATGACACTAGACACTAGATGGGAACTTATGCCCATTCAAAGGAAGAAAAAAATAAATCAACAGAAAATGTCCTTGAAAAAAAATCTGGTGGCAGATCTATTAAAAATAGACTTTTAAAAAACTATCTTAAAGATGCTCAAAGAACTAAAAGACATGGAGAAAGTCAAGAAAATGGTGCATGAACAAAATGGAAATATCAATAAACAGATAGAAAACCTAAAAAGAAACCAAAAAGAAATTCTGGAGCTGAAAAGTACAATAACTGACAAGAAAAATTCACTAGAGGGATTCAAAGGCTGATTTGAGCGGCAGAAAAAGAACTAGTGAACTTGAAGATAGGACAATGGAAATTATGGAGTTTGAAGGAAAGAAAAAAGATTGCAGAAAAGCAAACAGAGCCTAAGAGATTTGTAGAACACAATCAAACAAACCAAAATACACATTGTGGGAGCTCCAGGAAGGGAAGAAAGAAAGGGAAGAGAGAATATTTGAATAAATAATGGTTAAAAGCTTTCCAAGTTTGATAAAAGACATGGATATAAACATCCAAGAATCTCAATGAACTCCAAGTAGATTAACTTAAAGAGACCCCACGAAGACACATTTTCATCAAACTTTCTTAAGACAAAGAAAGAATCTTGAAAGCAGCAAGGAGTGACTTGTCACATACAAGGGATCCTCAATAATATAATAGGCAGATTCTTCATCAGAAACTTTGGAGGCCAGAAAGTGATAGGCTGACATATTCAAAATGATAAAAGAAAATACTTTTATCATCCAAGAATCCTATATCTGGCAAAACTGTCCTTCAAAAGTGAGCAAAAAATTAAGACATTCCCAGATAAACAAAAGCTGAGGAAGTTCATTACCACTAGACCTGTGTGGGATATACTAAAAAGCATATGTACTTCACAGGGCCCGGTTTTCCAAAGCCTTGCAGTTTCAAATATTGACCTTGTGGAGGACTGGAAATTTCCCTCAGGCTATAAGTCTCTGGTGTAAGATAAAGATTTGTGGCATAGCAAGGTTGCTGGCTCAAGGACAGACTAGTTACTGATTGTTATGTAAAGATACTGAG